AAAAATAGGTACGCAGTGCGTACATGTTGCATGCCATCAACCTCATGACTCAGAATACTATACTGAAGTCCATCTGATGCATTGTTTTCTGCGTAAGCGCTATTCGTCATGATTCGTTACTTGGCAAATACTGTAAATAGAAGCAGTCGCTGCCAGGTCCCAGCCAGTGCGCCCCCCTGGACGTCCACCATTTTGAATATTATCAGTGGGATTGAATGCCTACCAAACATGTACCGGCCATTTTGATGACGAATTACGGTCACGTCAAAATCATTGGAAAATCATAGGAAAAACCAAGAAATCGGGCTTCTGTATGACCCATTCTGTGCCCTCAATCGTCCACAAAATATTTGAGACAAACCCCCTCCCACAATTTCAATGTCGTTAGGCACTACAAAATAGTTTAAATCCAACATCATCTGTTAAATTTCAACTGCCAATGACACACTTGCGGTTCTAGTATCACCTTATGTTCCTTTTCGAGAAGTACAGTAGGTTTCAACATTGAAATAAGGGCGGAGGGGATTGATTTAAAAAGTCTCAATATATTTTGTGGACGATTGCTGGTTATGATGTGCTATCGCTTATAACTTTTGGTACAACTCGCCTAAAACTTAAAATACTGAATCAATAAGTTTAATATCAATATATTTATTGAAAAATAACTATTATTTCAAAATAAGAAAACTTAAAGGGGAAGTCAAGTCCGTAATGTAAACAAACGGTTTGTTTACATTTTGAACTGCTGTATAAGTGTATTTTTTAAAATATGATGTACTGTCTGAATATCTAACACCATTTTGGTTCGCTATGGTTCTAAATGAATATGAAATAGAGTTTATGTTCAGAAAAATTCGAAACATTCGAAATATGGGCAATGTTCACATTAGAGGTCCTCACGTTGTTATGAGCAGAACCGATGCGCAGAACGGACTTGACTTCCCCTTTAAGATTCTCACGCGAATAAGCAATGTTTTTATGAGCGACTGTTCATCGGTAGTTGCAAGCGACGGTAATATAAACAAGGTCAAGGTTTTATCGAAGCTTCAAAGCGATTGACTGTTAGATTTCCTTTACTATTTTACAAATAAATAATGTCAATTCCTACAAATTTAGCTTTATTATAGCTTTATTGAAAGTATAAAAAACCATAGAAACGGTGAATTACTATAGATTGAAAATAATTATTAAACTATGATTGAAATTATCGACGTAGAAATGTAGAATGCTATTTCGTTGTATTAAATTTCAATAGTATTAATGAGAATTTTGTTTGATATTTTTAATATATTTCATGTTATTTACAAAATGTACTGTATTTTTGAAGTTTTGCACACAATATAATCAGTGTGAGGACAATGACTCCGTTTCAATTTGAGCATAATTATATAAACATATTTCAGTATTTTGATAGCGTATAGCCTTCACGACATAAATATTAAACGGCTGATAAATAATCAGTGCGAGCACAACGGTTCCAAACTAACAACAAATAACAGAATATAAGGTAAATTAAAAACGGTAAAGCTTTACCTACCTCGATCTATTTTCCTAAGGCGCTCAATTATGTAAATTTTCGGCCGGGAGTCAATATTCAGATGAAAATGCTCGTCGGAAAAACTCGGTATTTGTCGCATTTTTAATACGAATCTGTCACGTGATTTACCACCGCCCGTACACCGCGACACGAAATTTAGAGCTATATGAAAGTTGCATGCCCATATATGGGCATGCAACAAAAAACTAAATAAAGGTCTATAACTAGGAGTATCGCAAGGAAAATGCTGCCGATATGTACATGTAGGATGTGCTACAAAAAGAGCGTTTTTCACTGTATGTATGATTTATTGTCTTACACATCGTCGTTCCTCAGTTACCTTCGTACAATTATATCTTACGTCTAATCTTATGAAAAGTATATTTTAATATACTTAACAGTGCGACTTTGATAGTTGACACATAATATAAATGATAAAATGTGAATATTATTGAATGATTTTGTCACTCGCACAACTTTTACTTTGGCTATTCAAACAATTGATTTAAAATAGTTGAATTTATACTTACTGGGATGTTATTGCTTATTGGGATGTTGAAATTATGTTTGTTTTAAATACATTTAATTGATATTCCATAAATTCATTTTGTATGATTTCATTGACCTTGACATTGTTCAAAATCATTTTGTATTGTATTGAAACTGTATGTCTATGACCTATGTTATGTACTATATTAACCCATTGAGTCGCATTGCACCCTGATGCACCCTACTTTGAACAGTATTTTACTCTGTCTAACGCCAGACGATTTTACTCGTCAAGGGGAGATCTAGAGTGCTGGCGCTTAATGGGTTAACTGATCTATCTGCCCATGTGTCTAGTTAACCCATTGGGTCGCATTGCACCCTGATGCACTCTACTTTGAACAGTATTATACTCTGTCTAACGCCAGACGATTTTACTCGTCAAGGGGAGAGTGCTGGCGCTTAATGGGTTAACTGATCTATCTGCCCATGTGTCTAGTTAACCCATTGGGTCGCATTGCACCCTGATGCACCCTACTTTGAACAGTATTTTACTCTGTCTAACGCCAGACGATTTTACTTGTCAAGGGGAGAGTGGTGGCGCTTAATGGGTTAACTGATCTATCTGCCCATGTGTCTAGTTAACCCATTGGGCCGCATTAAATACGCCAGAGTATTTTACTCTGTCTAACGCCAGACGATTTTACTCGTCAAGGGGAGAGCGCTGGCGCTTAATGGGTTAACACGCCCAAAATCTGTACTAAAACTGCTAATTCTGTTTTGTGATTGGCACAGTTTAATCAAAGAATCCTCCCGTTGAATCAGAGCCTTCACGATATTTCAATTTATTATTAACTGAAGGCTCTGGAATCCAGGATAGCTTGCCATTGAATACAGTGCAATGCTTATATTTCTGAATGAATAAGATCATACTCAGAACAGTCAGAACTGCAAAACTATATTATTAGAAAGAAGTTGAAGTTGTGAGCATTATTGTGGTAACACAGCCATATGTATATATCAATGTATGTCAGTAGAATCATGTTTATAGGCTTTATATATAACTGAGGCAGTCTTATACAAGTCATATCTTATACAAAAGTCAGTTGATATGCTATATGACATGTAATTGCTGATAAGTCCATATATGCAGACAACAATCCACACTGGGTAGCTCTAGGAATCTTGTTAAGCCTGATTTAACAACATCCCGCGTTTGTTTTTAAACTATAAACATATACAAAATAGAACGTACCGAACACTATTATATACTCACCGCCTTTGGCTTTGCACATATTAAGTGACATAACAAACAAATAAACTAAAAGTTCATTTGCTTCTTGTATCAGCATAAAGGCATTAATCATTACTGTCGATTTGGTCGGGAATAGATCAGTGATTCAGTGGGTATTCTAATTGCCGATATATTCTTGAAATCATTTTGTTTCAA